AGAGAAGATTCGTTTCCTCTCTGTGGTATTCGTTCTTCATGTGATCATAGAGTTGTTTGAGATCGTTGTCATGATCACTGCATAATGTCATTCGAATGATCGACATTGTCGCATCAGCTGATGATTGATCATGACAGATCTCATTCAAACAAAAGATCGAACCAATCATGAAGAGTTGTCTTGTGAGATATTCATGAGTAGCATTGAGCTTGAATAAAATTTAATTGAGATCAACATGTCATTTGGTAAGATTGTGATTATTGAAGATTGAATGTATTTGTTTTGCATGGGAGTCGGAACTTGATAAGAATACAGATAGGATCGAAGAATCATATGCTGGCCACGTGTATGATCAAAGAGTAATGATATGTGCCGCAATAAATTGATATATTGGCTGAGAAACAGTAGTGTTTGATGACAGCTAAATTAGAGATGCTTTCAAACGAGTTTGTTTTTGTCGAAACAGTGATCGGTTGATAATATTAGAAATGGATATTTCAACTATTCTTGCAGAATAAAATCGAACAAGTGTTATATTATAGGCTGAAGTAGCATATTGTATATATAGAAATTCTGAATAACGGGCAATGAGATCTATCACTACATAACAGATTTTTAGAAGATGCATCAATTGTGAAAAATCTCAGTTCTGAGAATATAGATACTGTTTGGTATGAATACAATCAATCGGAGGCATATTTATGGATCCTTACCAAAGACTAAATAGTGCGCCAGTCATGTAAGAGTAATGGAAACACATTTATTCGATATTTCGCTCCGTTTGCATTTTAAAAAACTGATGAATTCTGTAATTTCCTCATGAAATTTGAAGAAATTCTATTAATCCTGAAGAACTCTTGAAGATTTTGTAGTCGAACTACTGAACCGTCTTGATTCTAAGAGACAAAAGAAATAATTTAACGCGAATTCGTTTAGAAAAAGTTTTATGAAAACGCTTCAGTACAGAACTATCTTTTAATTACCAAAAGTCTTTTATTTTAGGAAAATGGTTTGATAATTAATCATTTTAGAGCACTAAGTCGTTTACTTGTTTTTGTTTTGTTGAAATTAAGGATTGATTTATATTGGTAAGCATTCCTAGATATTATATAATGAGTTGAGAACTTCTTAGAGAGTTATATCTACACATAGATAGACAGTTGTAGATAAATGTTTATAATAGACTACGTGATTTGATCGTTACATAATATGGTAAGATTGACATGCAAATGTTCAAATTGCTAGATACTGCGATAAGCAAATCATAGATTGGTGTTTAAGTAAGATTTTTCAGATGGCTATTCTGTCAGGTGAATAATGGGAAAATGACCATTAAAATGCATATGGATTCGTTTTTGAATGGTGTGCCGATATTGATGGCACGCTTCGATGATTCTCCTTCCTCCTCCTTCTGTTCTCTTTCCATTGTTCTAATATATCTCTCTCCTGTCTCTCTTCTATCTCTCTCCTATATATACGTGTGTTATGTATGAAATTGTTGCACTCTGGATATGTGAAGAAGCGAATAAACATCATTGCCAAGAGTGGCGGTAAGCTACTCCACCTATATTCAGTTTGTCATTACGTATCAACCCAGTCAGGGCCTTATTGATCGTTACAAATGGTTTTAACCATTTTATGATCACCAAGTCTATTTATTAGCAGTATTAGGCTCATTCAAGCATATTTGTAGTCTCTAAAAATCATATGATTCACTAGTCTTTTGTGAAGCACGATCTGAAAGGAGTGTTGAAGTGTTTAGCGGTAGAAATTTGCACCCGCCGCTCCCACAGACCGTGACAGACAGGCTCCAGCAGTCATCATAGACTGTGATAGAAGACTTCAAGGAAATATCAGAGATAATGCATAACTAACATATGATTGGAGCATATATAGAGTATTATCATGTTCAAGTTCCATAATGTAAAGTAAGCCATGATGAAGAAATGTACCCCAATATACATAAAAAGCAATAGTTTTTAGAAGATTGGCAACAGCAGCTACATCATGTTTCACATTTTTAATCCCGCAAGGGATTGCGCTAACAGCTTTGCTTACCTAACGTTCATATTTCACACAAAAGTCAAGAATACAGTTCAAAATTTACACTAAAAGTCGGAGGGCTGGACCATATCCTTCCATCAAAGAGAAACTGTTCTTCTTCTAGCAGAAATGTTTCACCCACATAAAGTCAAAGAGAAACGCTTTACAAACACGCCACCTTCATCCGACCACCTCACTACAAGGGAAGAGGAAGAAAAACGAGGAGCACTACTACGTCCAAGTCTCATTCACAAGAAGAAGTTGAAAAGAGATAGAGAGAAATTGATCATTTTTTTTCATCTTAAGGGATATCTCAAGTAGAGGTCTATTTTTCCCATTACAAATGCTTATTTGTGAAGAAGAAATGCTTCATCACGAGATTGCATAAGTAGCATGGTACTAGAAAATGAGAAGCAAGATTGACATATGTGTAACGACATGTGGCAACTACACCATTTATAATAGCCAACACGATGGCATGTGCATCAATTTGGCAGTATGATGCAAAATGCCGAATATAATGTGCTAAATTTTGAGGAAACCACATTTCTGGTTCAATTTTTAGCATGAAAGGCACTTTGAGATGCTCTGAAATCGTTCCATTGGATTCATAATGTTCACTAAAATGTTCGATCTACAAAACACAATTGCATCACAGTATAAAAAAATAATTATAGATAAAAAGTTCGATTAAATCTGAATTCAATCTTATTGTGGCCGTTTCAATTGACAATGATTATCTGAAAGTTACTTGTTATCTTAGACACAGTAAATGAACAGAGTTAATCATTCCTTATCCTTCGAAGGTAGATATGATAAATAATGTCCTTCTCGATTATCCAACTGAAAATTAACAACAAAACAAAATTTATTTACTTGAATGTACACATGGAACTAGTGCTAGCATGATACTTCTTCCACGACGGGAAAGCGACTTTTCGTCTCACTTTTTCATTACGAACTCCGGTTGAAATAGTCCGTTACGATCTTCGGACATACGAAAAAAGACAGGGTGTTCGGGATAGAGTTCTTAATGGTAAAAGACAAAGAAATATAGTAAAAAACAGGATTTTCGGAATGAAATTTTCCCAAGAGTTAGTTGCGAACTGTGACAACCCATTGTTAATGGTTGAACAGCGAAATTTTGACTGGAGATCGGAATGAAAAGGGCAGAATGTTCGTAGCTATGTTGAGGCTTACTCACCTTTGGGAGAATGTGAAGTGACATGCTTTCTTGCAGTCTAAGAGGGTGCCTAAAGAACGTTTCGATGAACTCAAGCAGTAAGATTGTTCTGCTTTACAATTCTAATTCTAATGTTAGTTTTTATTCTCACTATTCCTTACATGCTCTCTGTTACGAATACCAAGTTTAAAAAAAAATATTTATTCATAACTGTAGTGCGAATGTACATCATCATGACGTTTCCTTTCTCTAACAGCTAAGAAAAAGTACAACAAACACTTTATAATGTTTCATTTTTATAGAGACTACTGCCATATATTGACATTTTGAATAGATTAAAAGACAAAAATTAAAAACAACTTTTATATTTACTAAAGTATAGAGAATAGATATAGAGAAACAAAAATGCTTATTCATATAATTATGGATGTAACAGGTAAATGACTTCTATTCTTATCTATAAAAAACAGAAAGAAAAGTCTTTATATCCGTTACGATCTGCTAGTAAATTCTTTTACGAACTTCCTGTTCCTGCCTTTGTCATTCCATTCCTCCGGTCTTTTTTTTTGTAAAAATACCGTTGGATATACATTCCGAACATCCGATCTTGTTCATTACGATCTCCGATCACTACATCAGATATAGCAAGAAACATTCTATTCCGAACACCCGGTCACACCATTTCGATTTTCCTGCTTTTCTATTACGATCTTCCGTACAAAAATGTTTACGAACTCCGTTCATAAATTTTTCAGTACAAAAAATCATTTCCGAACACCCGGACACATGCCCGGAGTTCGGAATGACTTAAGACGAAAAGTACGTCACCCTCCACGACATGGATTACTTTGTGGACAAAGCAATACGATCTAATTATTTCGCTTTGGAATAAGAACCATTTCTCTGTAAATTTAAGAATAAATACGGCTGCATATAATAGATTATATGTATATATATTTTTAATTCTTTCTTTCCATTTCTCTTTGTTGAACCATTTCGTATTGAAAGAAGAACTATTTCTCTCTAAATTCAAGTATATGTGCAATATCTTATAATAGGTTATATGTATATATATTTTTTTTATTCTTTCTTTCCATTTCTCCTTGTTATGCATGCCTTTATGTGGGGTGAAGCATTTCTCCATGAAGTGGAACAACTTTCCCGATCGACTGGTCCAATGGTCCACTGCTGAAAAGTTGATAGAAACTTTCGATCGTGATGAAGTCAAGCTTAAGAGCAATTAGAACAACTAGCTGTTTTGCATGATTTTTAACAATGCACTGGTAATTCTAAAATCAGGAAGAGTCGTACTCTATAATACCCACTGCGTTCACAACTTTTTTCTTGAAGATTGAATGCCTATAGTTGAAAATAGCGTAATCTTTTTTTAAAGACAGTGGATTGCGTTCTAGTCCACCAAATGCACGATATGCCATAGAAAATAAACCTAGCACTGTTTTTTTCCAATAGATGTAGAACGAAAATGATTCTAAAGTAACGA